GGCTGCAACAACAATACTACAGCGAGAATAAAAGTTACGGCTTCTTTCTTTGCGTGAACGTTTGGGCGGCGTTATGCAAATCTTCCCACATTGTGACGTAGACGTGGGGGCGTGTTAGAACGAGCCGTTTTAGGTAGGCGTGGTTGACTCTTAACTTTTATAAAGAATATCTCTTTGGATTTGAGACTTTAGTCTTTGCAACTTTACAGATCTTCTTTATGCACCAAGAGCTTGTAACACTCCAAAGAGAAAGGAAAAATTGAAATCGCATCATATGACACCTTTAAGTGGCACTTGGGATGGCCAATCAAATTTCTTGTCTAGGGATACCTATATGGACGCACCCTGTTTTTTTATGTGTTTACCTTCACATCATATTTCCGAATCAGCTCACGTATTGTAAAGGTGTTTTTGAGATTAGCAGTCCTGAGTCACTTTTGTACCCAAGTCCAGAAATATTCTTCGGCCTACATGTTGCCAATCAATGTTTTCATGAGAGCTTTCATCATTCAAGAGGAATTCCACCTCTAGAATTATCCCATGGCTTCAGTGCAACCCCCCTCTCCTGTTCCTGGCCGGTGGTGGTCTGCATGACTCATGGACTGATTACAGTTCAGCTCTGCTTGAGTTATAAAGTTAAGGTGGAGCAGATGTGCTTGTGCCTAAAATAATTTATCTTAATTTAATTTAATTTATTTATTTATCACGTACGGCCAATAAAATTATTCTCTGTATTCATGAACTCAAACTGTTTCCAGGTTGTTGTTTTTATCTGGGAATTAATGGTAAATACATTTGTGCAAAAAGTGAAAAAGGTTTGGCAATGATTGACTGTACAACTCAAAACTCAGACAGGACAGCAGAGCTCAGCTTATCCATCTGCTGGCAGCTCAGAGAGAAAAAGTGTGGAACCAGAAGGATGATGATAAGCTTAAGAGATTCTGAGAGGATGCAGGAAGAATTTTATTGTGGATGTATATGTGTTATTATATATTTTGGTGGACCATTTTTATTGTTCTGAGCATAGTGAATTAATCTCACTCTTTTTTCTTTATTTCTGTGTTTGATTTTGTTTCTCAGGAAAAAATGAAAAGTAAAAATAAGCTGGTCCCTAGGCTGCTGGGTATAACCAAAGAATCAGTGATGAGAGTGGATGAGAAAACCAAAGATGTGATTCAAGAGTGGCCACTTACTACAGTGAAAAGATGGGCCGCCTCACCTAAGATCTGTTCCCATATGCAGGATTTCGGGGAGTATCAGGAGAGCTACTTCTCTGTTCAGACCACTGAGGGGGAGCAGATATCTCAGCTTATAGCTGGTTACATCGATATCATTCTCAAGAAGGCCAGTATTTACTCCTTTAACTGCGTTTCCCTCATGAAATATTCAACAATTTGTTGTTTCATGTGCTTTCCTGAAAGAGATTCTCCTGGATTCCAAATGATTTTCGTATTACACATTAACAGTGTTCAGATAACAGTATGCACAGTGTTACCAGATTAAACCTTATGTGAAAGTTTGTAAAAAAAAGTGTTTATTCACTTATGTTTGGCTCTACAGAAACAAAGCAAGGACCGCTTTGGTTTAGAGGGAGATGAGGAGGCCACCATGTTAGAGGAATCAGTTTCTCCGAAAAAGTAAGACACGCACAAATTTTGAGTCGTCAGTGATAAGAACCATATTTCCTTTCAAGGTTTTGTAATTTCTTGCCAGTTGTCTTTGGAAATACTTCTGTAATCAGACCAGTACAGCATTACAGGAAACTCACAGTGGAAAAACCACCTTATCTCAGACTCTGTTTATCTAGATGAAGCTGAGGTTACCTGTTCCACACAGTTTCTATACTCAGCCTGTTTTAATGAGTGCTGGCATCTTCTCTTCTTGAATAACCCCTGAATGCTGTAGTACAAACACGAAAACCTCTTTACTTCTTTACTTTATTGTCATTCCTTTTATCTTTATGTCCCTTCCTCTCTATCTATCACAGATCTACTATATTACAGCAGCAGTTTAACAGTGTCGGGCGGGTAGAGCATGGCTCTGTGGCACTGCCTGGGATCTTGAGGTCCGGTTCTGTTGGCCCAGAAACTCTGAACATGGGTACCATGCCCTCTCCACAACAACATATCACCACTGGACAGATGCATCTTGGACATATGCCACCACTGGTGAGTCCACATATACAAATGCCCATGTTCATGGACCAATTAATCAGCAAAGTTCATTAAAAGTCCAGTATTTTACCTTATATAGGCCACCTTGCTGTCTAGCAGCATATCAGCATCAGACCCTACATAACACATAGAGGTTGACCATAGAGCTGTCACAGTTTAGATCTGTTTGTGGATTAATGTGTGATTTCTGCCATCCTTAATTGGGCGATCAGAGTGCGGCCCAGCAGGCTCTCGTGGGAACCATTAACACCAGTATGCAAGCGGTGCAGCAGGCACAGTCAGACCTAGAGGAGGTGGAAGAGCTGCCACCACTGGGAGATGATATGGTGAGAAAATGCATACATGTCACTTCACATTTACTTTCCTGTATCCATTACCAATATTTTATTTTATTTTGAAAGTGAACTTTATTTGTGATGATATAGTAAGAAAATGCACACATCTTGGACACAATTTTACATTTACTCTCCTGTACCCATTAACATTTTATTAAATTTTTACTTTAATTTGTACTTTTATTGTTTTTACTTTAACTTTTTTATTTGTATTACTTTTTATTTTTTATTTTTTTCTTATTTCAGGCTTCTAAAATGTGGATTCAGAACAAGATGGATGAGTCCAAGCATGATATTCACTCTCAGGTGGATGCCATTACTGCTGGAACTGCCTCTGTGGTTAATCTTACTGCTGGTAAAGCCTTGGCTGTATTAAAATGTATTTAATTAGCAAGATTTCACAACACTTACTATGTTTGTTTGTTTTTTTACTTTAAATACAAGAGAAAACCTTGACTGGACTTTCAAAATGAAAAGCTTTAAGCTTCATCTGCAGTGTAGTGATTTGACTGAGTTTCCTATTCTTTTTCCCAGGGGACCCGACAGACACAGATTATACAGCAGTAGGATGTGCCATAACCACCATCTCCTCTAATCTGACGGAGATGTCAAAAGGTGTGAAGCTGCTGGCGGCTCTGATGGAGGATGAGGTGGGCAGTGGGCAGGACCTCATGAGGGCTGCCAAGACCCTCACTGGAGCTGTATCTGACCTGCTTAAAGCTGTGGAGCCTACATCAGGAGAGGTGCGAGCAAAGAATGTGCTGCCATTAATCATTATCTGTCATTTTGATGGACTGTGTTGAACATTTTCTTTCAGTCCCAAAGTTTTTGTTTCCATTTCTCCAAAATGTATATGCATATGTATGCCATTTACATTTCTGTATGCACTGTATGGTTTCATTCGCAAATATGATTAAAATAATTATTTTCACTTTTTCAATGGTAATATTTCTGAATATTTTCTTAATTGTCAAAATGTTGTTTTAATTTGATAATTTTAATTTGATAAAAAATTTTTTTTATATATTTCATTATTAAATGGAATCATAATTTCAACTGACTTACACTACCATCAACTCACCTTTATTTATATAGCGCTTTATACCATACAGATTGTTTCAAAACAGGAAAATAACAATCAGTGATGCAAACCTCATCCAATATGGGACAAATTCAAATTCCGCTGCAAAGTAGCTCTACAAAGTCAATGGCATTATTCAGCCCAAGTCAGTAAAATGTTGATACCATAAGGATTTTGAGTGACATGTATATGTTTAATGGCATTTGTGGTTGTGTTTTCTCATGCAGCCACGACAGACAGTTCTGACTGCAGCCGGCAGCATCGGTCAAGCCAGTGGAGATTTGCTTAGACAGATTGGAGAGAATGAAACGGACGAGCGCTTCCAGGTACGCAATTGTCATTTGAGGTACAAGGTACATTTGTGGTTTTTTGGCCCTGAGTGTATGTGTGCGTGTGTTTTAGGATGTGCTAATGAACCTAGCTAAAGCTGTGGCTAATGCAGCAGCCATGATGGTTCTGAAGGCCAAGAACGTGGCACAGGTTTCTGAAGACAGCGTCCTGCAGAACAGGGTTATTGCAGCTGCGACCCAGTGCGCCCTCTCCACTTCCCAACTAGTGGCCTGTGCCAAGGTGGAGTTCACATACACATGCTAATACAGACTGATTAAAATAAACCTGTGGATAACCTTTTTTCACTCATGTGTTTGTGTATCAGGTTGTGAGCCCTACTATCAGCTCCCCTGTGTGTCAAGAACAGCTGATAGAAGCAGGGAAGCTGGTGGATCGTTCAGTGGAAGGTTGTGTGAAGGCCTGTTTGTCAGCTACCAGTGATGGAGAGCTTCTGAAGGCCGTCAGCGCAGCGGCTGGTATCGTCACACAGGCTCTCAGTGACCTACTCACACATGTGAGGAACTACGCCACACGCGGGGAACCCATTGGACGCTACGACCAGGCCACGGACACCATCATGACAGTTACAGAGAGTATTTTCTGCAACATGGGTGATGCTGGTAAGATGAGTGCATCATATACGTTATCATTCAAAAGTATGGAGTTCATAAGGTTTTTTTAATGATTTGGAAAAAAGTATCTTATGCTCACCAAGGCTGCATTTATTTGATTAAAATAAAGTAAAAACAGTAGTATGGTGAAATATTATTACAATTTAAAATAACTGTTTTCAGTTTTGAATTTTCAGCATCATTACTCCGGTCTTCAGTGTCACATGATCCTTCAGAAATCATTCTCAATGGTAATATTTCTGAATAAAAATGTTGTTGTCAAAATGTTGTTTTAATTTGATAAAAAATTTTTTTTATATATTTCATTATTAAATGGAATCATAATTTCAACTGACTTACACTATCATCAACTCACCTTTATTTATATAGCGCTTTATACCATACAGATTGTTTCAAAACAGGAAAATAACAATCAGTGATGCAAACCTCATCCAATATGGGACAAATTCAAATTCCGCTGCAAAGTAGCTCTACAAAGTCAATGGCATTATTCAGCCCAAGTCAGTAAAATGTTGATACCATAAGGATTTTGAGTGACATGTATATGTTTAATGGCATTTGTGGTTGTGTTTTCTCATGCAGCCACGACAGACAGTTCTGACTGCAGCCGGCAGCATCGGTCAAGCCAGTGGAGATTTGCTTAGACAGATTGGAGAGAATGAAACGGACGAGCGCTTCCAGGTACGCAATTGTCATTTGAGGTACAAGGTACATTTGTGTTTTTTTGGCCCTGAGTGTATGTGTGCGTGTGTTTTAGGATGTGCTAATGAACCTAGCTAAAGCTGTGGCTAATGCAGCAGCCATGATGGTTCTGAAGGCCAAGAACGTGGCACAGGTTTCTGAAGACAGCGTCCTGCAGAACAGGGTTATTGCAGCTGCGACCCAGTGCGCCCTCTCCACTTCCCAACTAGTGGCCTGTGCCAAGGTGGAGTTCACATACACATGCTAATACAGACTGATTAAAATAAACCTGTGGATAACCTTTTTTCACTCATGTGTTTGTGTATCAGGTTGTGAGCCCTACTATCAGCTCCCCTGTGTGTCAAGAACAGCTGATAGAAGCAGGGAAGCTGGTGGATCGTTCAGTGGAAGGTTGTGTGAAGGCCTGTTTGTCAGCTACCAGTGATGGAGAGCTTCTGAAGGCCGTCAGCGCAGCGGCTGGTATCGTCACACAGGCTCTCAGTGACCTACTCACACATGTGAGGAACTACGCCACACGCGGGGAACCCATTGGACGCTACGACCAGGCCACGGACACCATCATGACAGTTACAGAGAGTATTTTCTGCAACATGGGTGATGCTGGTAAGATGAGTGCATCATATACGTTATCATTCAAAAGCATGGAGTTCATAAGGTTTTTTTAATGATTTGGAAAAAAGTATCTTATGCTCACCAAGGCTGCATTTATTTGATTAAAATAAAGTAAAAACAGTAGTATGGTGAAATATTATTACAATTTAAAATAACTGTTTTCAGTTTTGAATTTTCAGCATCATTACTCCGGTCTTCAGTGTCACATGATCCTTCAGAAATCATTCTAATATGCTGATCTGGTGTTCAAGAAACATTTCTTATTATAATAAATGTTTAAAACTGAAACAGTGATATTTGAATATTTATTTGAAATAAGTCTGTATAAATGCCTTTACTTTCACTTAAATTTAATGTGTCCTTGAAGAATAAATGTATTTACTTTAAACAAAAGAAAACAAAACAAAAAAAACCTTACTGACTCCAATGTCAGTACAATGACTGATAGTCTTACTTGTTTATTTATTTACTTAGCTTCTCTATGCTGTGTAAAAGTAGAGATGTACTATTCTGTTCCATAGGTGAGATGGTACGACAGGCGCGGGTTCTTGCCCAGGCGACCTCTGACCTGGTGAATGCCATGAGATCAGATGCTGAGGTGGAAGTGGATGTCAACAACTCCAAGAAGCTTCTTGCGGCTGCCAAACTGCTTGCAGATGCCACTGCTCGAATGGTTGAGGCTGCAAAGGTGTGTTAGCAAACTTTGGCTCACATTAAAAACATATTAGTTAACTATACGTTAACTCTCCAGTTTTCAGTAGATCTTAACTTTTTTTGCTGTAATTCTGCTGTAATTATGAGAAAACTGCTTGTTTTCTAACTTTTTTTAATTAGCAAAAACTGATAAATTGATATTAAATTAATTAACCATAATTATTTTTTGTTACTTAAGATGTTTCAAGAACTGTATGTTTTTCAGTTTACATCTAAATTAAAATGTAAAAAAAAACAAAAAAACAATAAAGAGTTCGATTAATATTCACTATTGTTCAAAGGTTTGAGGTTAAAAGACTATCACATTGTTGCAGTAAAACTAAGAGTTAATTAACTAAGTTTTCTCTCAATAAACTCCTAATTACTGCTTATTGATAGTAAGAAAGGTAGTTGCTGTAGTAGTTATGTTTAGGTATATGGTAGGGTTAAGGGATCTAGAATATGGTCATGCAGAATAAGGCATTAATATGTGCTTTATAAGTACTAATAAACAGTTAATATGCTAGTAATATACATGCTAATAAGCAACTAGTTAATAGTGAATAGTGTTCCCTAATCTAAAGTGTTACCAAAAAATTTGTTCAAATAAATGCTGTTCTTTTCAACTTCATCAAAGCATTCTTATGCTACTTTCAAAAACTCTCTAGGTAGTTTGCCGAGGCCCCCTAGTGGGCCCGACCCCAGGCCCCTGGTTGAGAACCACTGTCCTATATTATTAAACATAGCTCATACAAATGCTTGAGTTTTTAATAAGTTGGAGACATTTTTGCACTAATCAAATTATTCTGAGCATCTTCACTTTAGCGTCTCTCTGTTTAATAATCTGGGATCTAATAGACAACCAATAGACTTGTTACATGTCTGTGTGTGTGTGTGTGTGTTTAGGGAGCTGCTGCATACCCTGAAAATGAAGACCAGCAGCAGAAGCTCCGGGAGGCTGCGGAGGGCTTGCGTGTGGCCACTAATGCTGCTGCACAAAACGCCATTAAGAAGAAACTTATAACAAGACTGGAGGTCAGTGACTTGCTTATGATTTTCATTATGAGAAAAGTAATTGAATTTAGACAGGATTGTGTGATCTAAGCCAGTAAAACACTACACTGAATGTCTGCTTTAAATTTTTCCAGAACGCTGCTAAACAAGCTGCTGCTGCTGCAACTCAAACCATTGCGGCATCCCAGAATGCAGCAGCCTCTAACAAGAACACTGCTGCCCACCAGCAACTTGTTCAAAGCTGCAGGGTTTGTATAAGTATTTCTTTGAGAATTTCCAAAGTGTTAGTAATGATAGTCCTCCTGTTGTGTTTATAACAGTGTATTCTGTATTATTGTGTTCATGTGGGTTAGGCTGTAGCTGACCATATTCCTCAGCTGGTGCAGGGAGTGAGGGGCAGTCAGGGGCAGCCAGAGGATAGTAGTGCCCAACTTGCCCTCATCATTGCCAGTCAGAACTTCCTTCAGGTAACCATCAATCCATTCACTGATGCTAATCACCTGTCACTCATCTGATAACATCACTATTCTTTAAAAGTGCTCTTTCAGTACTAAAACGTCTAATTCCATGTTCCAGCCTGGAAGTAAGATGGTGTCTTCAGCGAAGTCGTCTGTGCCGACTGTGACGGATCAGGCAGCAGCCATGCAGCTTGGACAGTGTGCAAAGAACCTGGCCACCTGCCTGGCTGAACTCCGCACTGCTGCACAGACGGTACTGAATCTGTCTTCTCCACACATGTAATTTATGAGTAGAAGGTACTTTTTTTGGTACTACTGTAAAAGGATAGTTCACCCAAAAATGAAAACTCTGTCATTTACTCACCCTAGTGGCATTCCAAACCTTGATGTCTTTCTTCTGTGGAAGGCAAAAGATATTTTGAAGAATGTTGGTAAACAGTTTCGGTTCCCATTGACTTTAACTGTATGGACAAAAATAGAATGGGAACGGAAACTACATTCTTCAAAATATCTTATTTTCTGTTATGTAACAGAAAAAAAAGTCATACATGTTTGGATTGACATGAGGGTGAGAAAATGATGACAAAATGTTAATTTTTGGCTGGACTATATACTTAATCAAATCCTGTCATGTGATATGTAGGCTCATGAGGCGTGCGGCCCCATGGAGATCGACTCTGCCCTTATAGCTGTGCAGACGCTGAAGAATGAACTCCAGGATGCTAAAATGGCAGCATCCGAGGGACAGCTGAAACCTTTACCTGGGGAATCAGTGAGTTGAGACCTATTTTAATATCGGTGATGCTATGATTATTTTGTCCTTGAAAAATAGACATATCAACATAGACAGACATATTGATTGTGTAAATTATACATTCATTTTGTGGTCTAATTTGTGTGGTTTAGTTGGGAAAATGCACTCAGGAACTGGGTGGCACATCTAAGGCTGTTGGTTCCTCAATGGCCCAACTGCTTACCTGTGCAGCACAGGGAAATGAGCATTACACAGGTAATATGCTCACCCTCATACACAATACATTTATTTGGCTAAATGGGGACATGCCTTGCAGCTCCGTTGTTTTATGTAAAGCTAATTATAATTACTAACTTTAGCTCTAAATGTTAAAATTTCTTGGGGGGAAAAAAATAAAACAAACAAAATTAATCATTTTATTTGATTTGAGGATGTTCCTAAAGAGAGGTTTTGTCAAATTAAGTAAACTCCCAGGAACAAACATACATTCTGGTTGACACACACACACACACACACACACACACAGAGATATATATATCTGTGTGTGTGTGTGTGTGTCAATATCAGCTAAATTAATTTCTGAAGCCAAGGAGGCGCTGGTTGCTCCTGGTGTTGCAGAGATACAACAGAGGCTAGCGCAGGTGAGGGGGGAAGAGATGTCTTATTTTGTCTTTTTTTAACATTACATTAAATTTAATCATTTAGCAATTATTATTCAAAATATTAGCTTAGAAATTTAGGAAATGCATGCATAATTTATCATTGAGGAGCCAGCAATGTTAGCAGTACCACAATACTGAATTTCAAGAATAAACTACTTTTGATCAATTTAATGCTTCCGTACTGAAAGAAGTAATAATTTTCTTTTTCTTTAAAAAAAAAAAAAAAGATATATACAGTAGATTGATATATTTATATAAATATTGATATGTGTGTCTCTGTTTTGTGTGTTAGGTAGCAAAGGCTGTGTCCCACTCACTGAATGCATGTGTGAACTGTCTGCCTGGTCAAAAGGATGTTGATATGGCTCTGAAAAGCATCGGCGAAGCCAGCAAAAAACTGCTTGTAGAGATGGTGAGCTACAAGCAAGGACTTTTTCTTTTCTTTTGTCATCACCCAAAGTGCTAAATGCTAATGATAATTAATGAAAATGCTCCACAAACATTGTAACTTGAAAATTTGTTCTATCGCTTAATGTACACTCACTGTCCTCAATATAGTGCAAGCAATTAATAAATGTACATCATCCTCATGTGTGTGTGGTCGCTGAGTGTTGTTACTTTTTTTAAATTTATTTAAATTTTTTTGCAGCTTCCTCCCTGCAGTAAGACCTTCCAGGAGGCTCAGAGTGACCTGAACCAGACTGCAGCCGATCTGAACCAATCTGCAGGTGATGTGGTCCATGCCTCTAGAGGGACCACTTGCCAGCTTTCAGATGCTTCTGGGAAGTTCAGTGAGGACTTTGATGAGTTTCTGGATGCTGGCATTGAGATGGCTGGCCACACCCAGGTATTATGTGTGGAGCAGGAGAGAACATGAGAATGTGAATAAGTCTTACTTTTCCTCAAATAATAAGTAATGTTTGGTTGTTTTAGAGTAAGGATGATCAAATACATGTGATTGGGAATTTGAAGAACATCTCAATGGCCTCCAGTAAGCTGCTGTTGGCTGCTAAGTCTTTATCTGTGGACCCTGCAGCAGGCAATGCAAAGAACCTGCTCGCTGCTGCTGCCAGGTACTTCACCCCGTGTTTATTCATGCATGTTTCATAAATGCTGCTCTTCCTGTATTTGTAACTTCACTTTCCTGTGTTGTTTATTCAGAACGGTGACTGACAGCGTCAATCAGCTGATTATGCTGTGTACCCAGAATGCCCCAGGACAAAGGGAATGTGACAATGCTCTAAGAGAGCTTGAGGTATTATATACAAACAATGCACGCTATTAAGTAATTTGTTTTAATATTTAAAAAATGGGATATTGTCTCTTTTTTTTCGGTTTACAGGCTGTTAGGGGCCTGCTGGATAACCCAAATGAGCCAGCCAATGATCTCTCCTACTTTGACTGCATTGAAAGTGTCATGGAGAACTCTAAGGTAACAGAAACATAATTATTATTAACTATTGGAGGTTTTGCTTGGAATGCTATCCAGATCATTATTGCACATTTTTATTTAAACTTTTGATACAGTTACAAACAGAAACATTTGAACATTTTACATGTTATTTGAGCACCGAATCAGCATATTAGAATGATTTCTGAAGAGTCATGTGCCACTGAAAACTGGAGTAATGGCTGCTGAAAGTTCAGCTTTGCAATCACAGGAATAAATTGCATTTTAAAATGAATAAAAATAGGAAATGGTTGTTTAAAATTGTAAAAATGTTTCACAATATTACTGTTTTTACTGTATTTTTGAACAAATAAATGTAGCCTTGGTGAGCGTAAGAGACTTTTTTCAAAAACATTAAAAAGTCTTACTGACCCCACACTTTTGAATGGTAGCTTATCTTATTACAAAAGTACATAATGCAGTTTGTAGTATAAGCATTTTCAATGTGAATCTCACATACTAAATGGGCAAAATTGCTGTTAAGATGCTGAACTGGAAATATTCATTTAGCCTGTATATACAGTTAAAGGTAGGGTAGGCGATTTCGGAGAGGCTAGCAATAGCAAGCTAGCTTTGAAAGCAAGATCCCCACCCTCCCTGCATAATCGCTCTCCAAAGCCATACCTCCTCCAAAACACATGAACGTGCGCAGGCAGACCAGAGGCTAACTAGCAACACGATGAGAGACGGCGTTGGTGGAAGGTTGAATGCAACACTGTCAAATTATCTCATGTCTCATTCACCGGTCAGAAAACATTACAGTACAAAATGTATAATATTACTGTAATAACGCCTTCATTCTCGCACGGTCTGCAATAGCGTAACGGAATGCGCTGATGGTGTATCATGTCTGCGCAAACAGGGTGCGCAGAGGTATGCAAATACATACATTGATTTGCAGGTAGGACAGCCTATAGTAGTCCTCGGACCGAGGGATATGATTGGATGAACATTTTATGGTCCTACGCCTTCCACAGACAATAAAAATACATTTAGACCACTTAACTTACTGATTGTTATCTGGATGTGAAGAAACTTTCAACCAGCATTACAAAAAATGCTTTTGAACCATATCACCTACCCTGCCTTTAAATGTTAATGCATATCACTATGCATTAACTGATAATTGATCTTTAATCCACCTCTTTCTGATATATAGATACTCGGTGAGTCTATGGCTGGGATCTCTCATAACTGCAAGACAGGAGATGTTCCAGCGTTTGGAGACTGTGTGGGTGGAGCCTCTAAAGCTCTGTGTGGACTGACCGAAGCAGCTGGACAGGTAAAAAACTACCCGCTCTGTCCTTCCATGTCATACTTCATTCACAACCATTATACATTTTTAACTTTTAACACTTTGTCTTTGTGTATGTACTGATCACACTTGTTTTTTGTGTGTCATTAGGCTTCTTACCTAGTGGGTGTGTCTGACCCCAACAGCCAAGCCGGACATCCAGGCTTAGTGGATCCTATCCAGTTCGCTCGTGCTAATCAGGCAATCCAGATGGCTTGCCAAAATCTTGTTGACCCAGATAGTAGTCCTTCACAGGTAGTGTCAGACATCGGGCATGTAGTGTTTGGGCTTAAGCCCAGAATTTGTCTTTCTGCAACATCTTCATCTGCACTTTTAAGGCCAAAATTATAATATATGCATGTTGCAGGTGCTCTCAGCTGCCACCATTGTTGCTAAGCACACCTCGGCGCTGTGTAATGCTTGCCGACTGGCCTCTTCTAAGACTGCCAACCCTGTGGCTAAAAGACACTTTGTGCAGTCAGCCAAAGAAGTGGCCAACAGCACAGCCAGCCTGGTCAAAACAATCAAGGTTAAACCACTCCTCTTTATAAATGAATCCAACTTTTATCCACTCCAGTGACATCAAATGATTGTTCTCTAACATCATTTCCCCTCTTCACTCCCACCATAGGCACTGGATGGAGATTTCTCAGAGGAAAACCGCGAGAAATGTCATGTTGCAACAGCACCGCTCATTGAAGCTGTTGACAATCTAACCACGTTTGCTTCCAATCCAGAGTTTGCTAGTGTTCCTGCGCAGATAAGTAGAGAGGTATGAGGTTCTTCTTCATTGGAATGTCATTCACAATTGTGTCCTTTTTGTTTTTAATGGTTTATATTTTTCTACTCACAATTTAGGGTTTGGCTGCACAGGAGCCGATCATCCAGTCAGCACGCTCCATGCTTGACAGTTCCACCCACCTTTTGAAGACTGCCAGGTCATTGGTTATGAACCCTAAAGATCCGCCAACCTGGTCATTACTGGCGAGCCATTCACGCAACGTCTCGGACTCCATCAAGAGCCTCATCATGACTATCAGGTAACACTTAAATACTGACGTTTTTGTAGTTTGTGTGAAACATGCAGGATAAAAATGAGCTACTATGAATGTTCTTTTTAAAAAAAAATAATTTCATAATTATAATAATTTTAGAAATTGATTATGTGATTTATATTGCAGGGATAAAGCCCCTGGCCAGAAGGAATGTGACTCCGCCATTGATAATATCAATAAATGCATCCGAGATATTGAGCAGGCCTCACTTGTAGCTGTCAGCCAAAATCTTTTTCGTAGAGACGAAGTTTCTTCTGAGGTAAAGTCTGTATTTTCTGTAGTATTTTTCTGGAAATTCTCCAAATTAATGTAGAAACAACATAAAGATGGTACATTTTCAATTCTATTTTCTTTTAATGGCATCTTTTTACTAAGTACTATGAATGAAGGTAAGTATCACTGATACTGATGCCTCTATTACATGGATTTTCTTTTCCAATTTCTAATGATAAAATTAGTAATTATAGCTATTTAACATTACAGTAACATTGAAAGCCATCATTTTAAACACTTAATAGGCAGAACATTAAAAAAAAATTAGAACTGTAATTAAAGTTCACTTAAATTAAATGTTCACATAAACCCATTATAATAAATGTCACATTTAGATATGGCTTTAATATAGTGTGTTGTACTTAGTATATATAGTAATATAGTGATGTTTCTTTCTCCGTCAATATCAGTTCTCTTTGAATGAAAGCTGTTGGTTCATTTTTCCCACATAATAAGAAAATTACTAGATAAAACATTTTGTAGCAATTTTTTAATGTGAGGATAGAAAAATTAAAGTGGGTTTTCTAACTGGGAGTCTTTAACTATTGTATGTTTCAGGCTTTGCAGGAGCAGTTAACATCATCTGTTCAGGAGGTGGGTCACCTGATTGAACCGATTTCCACAGCAGCAAAAGGAGAAGCAGCCCAGCTGGGACATAAGGTGACTAAAACTGTAGAGCCTTTACAGTCTAAAAATGTTTGTCATATAGTTTTCATCACTAATGCATGCCATAAGTATTAACTCAAACCTACGTCTGTCCCTCAGGTCTCTCAATTGGTCAGTTACTTCACTCCTCTGGTCTCAGCTTCTATGGGCATGGCATCCAAAATCTTGGATCATCAGCAGCAGATGAATCTTCTGGATCAGACCAAGACTCTCGCTGAGTCTGCTCTACAAATGCTGTACGCTGCCAAAGAAGGTGGTGGAAACCCGAAGGTACTTCTCTTTCATTCATATGTGTGTTTTCTACATATAATTTCAATCTTTCAACAGATTCATTTATTCATTTGTCTTTAGGCGGCTCATACCCATGATGCCATAGCAGAAGCTGCACAGTTAATGAGGGAAGCTGTTGATGATCTCTTGCTGACCCTGAATGAAGCTGCTAGTGAGGTTGGCATTGTCAGCGGCATGGTGGATTCGATTGCTGATGCCATGGGCAAGGTAATAACCCACATATTTTCACATTATAAACCGCCTTGATATGCTTTATAATTCCATTAAATTAAAAATACTTTCTTGTCATCCTGTAGTTAGGTGAAGGTACTCCACCAGAACCAGAAGGATCATTTGTGGAATATCAGACCACCATGGTGAGATACTCCAAAGCTATTGCTGTCAGTGCACAGGAGATGGTAAGCAATCATAATTTTCTACATTTTATGGGTTTCATATATATTTCTTTATATCATAATGATTTATTCATTGACTTTAGTGTCCAATTTCATTGTATCCCTGCATTCTCTCCCTCAGATCACTAAATCAGTGAGTGCGCCAGAGGATCTGGGCAGTTTGGCATCTCAGATCACTGCAGACTACAGTCAGCTTGCCGTTCAGGGACGTCTGGCTGCCTATATTGCTGAACCAGAGGAGGTAACCGGCATACAGATGCACGGTCACTCTCTGTATTTCTCTCTCACACACACACATGCTGACCCTTGTGTTTGTTGGTTATTGTAGATCGGCTTCCAGATAAAGACACGAGTGCAGGAACTGGGGCATGGCTGTATTGTGCTCGTTCAGAAGGCTGGAGCGCTGCAGATCAGTCCATCTGACTCGTTCACCAAGAGAGAACTTATTGAGTGCGCACAAACTGTCACTGAGAAGGTAATGAAATGCACGACACACAAAACCAAATGATATGCATTACACTCTGCTTCCTGTCTAAGACTTCATGGTGTTTTCTGTTGAAATGTCAATATCTCCATATAGTAGCATTTTTTTTTTTAATGCGGGTTTATTTTCTGTAGGTGTCCATGGTGCTTTCGGCATTGCAAGCTGGTAATAAGGGCACTCAAGCCTGTATCACTGCAGCCAGTGCTGTTTCAGGCATCATCGCTGACCTGGACACCACCATTATGTTTGCTTCTGCTGGCACACTCAATGCTGAGAACGATTCAGACTCCTTCGCTGATCACAGGTATCACACAAATATATAGTACAATGGGGTAATTTACAGTCTGCAGACATTGGTGATGCACTGAAATAAAAATTATTGGTAGAAATAAAAAATTTTGGACACATTGGTTCAAAAATAAAATAAAAGATTCTGAAAGCAGAATAATAATACCATCCATCACAGATTCAAATCTTAAGTTGACAGTTTGAGCCCAAGCCTCCATTACTAATTCGAAAATGTCACTTTAGAACTAGTAACGAAGGAACGTTCAGTTGCTTCATTGAATGCTTTTTGTATTACTGTATTAAAAGCTCACTGTATTATGTAGAGTTGAGTATTATGAGAGAGAGAGATGGACTGAGCGAGTGTGATTACCTGCATTTGATACAGCATTCATTCTTCAGCTCAATCTCATATTCACAATAAAACATTAGTTTGAATGTCCGCTGAGGAAAGCAATATCTTTGTTGTAGTTTCCTTTCATCTGTTAAGGGTGATTTCATGACAGCGCTGCTCAGGTGTTGTTGAAAGTAAAAATAACTTTCTTGTTTACAACCCTGTTTCAGTCTCTTTCAATATAAAAGTCTTTACTGCTGACTCGCTCATAAAAACAGTAATCTAATGGTCGAACAGCGTAACTAAAATCACCATCACAAACACACACACCGTTTCTCAATACTAAGTACTATTATTCAATACTACTATTATTTATATAAGTTGCTAGGCAATTCAGTAATAAGGCAGCGCTCTGATATACAGCATTAAAGTTACATAAAATATAACGTGATGAGATTTTGCCCTCAGCCAAACTATTTGCTCTGGAACAAATAATAGATTAATGAGACCAAAGACTGCCCATTAGATTACCCAAAATGAATTAAATCTCATGTTTAACCACTATTGAGACATCAAAGCCAGTGGCAAATTCCAGAAGAGCTGGCCGGGGTGAGGCTGCTCTCGGCGGGTTCATAAATGCTGAACGGCCGCTGACGCCCTGAAGCTCACATCCCCGAAAACGTCAAAGCAAATTTTCAAATAGACGTTCACTTTTTTTAACAAACCACATATCTGAAGTCTAAAGTACATTCTTACCTAAAAAAAACTCTTAAAACTACATTCCGTTACACAAAAACAGTATTATTTATACAATTATAGTGGATTTGGGCATCCGCCATGACGATGAAATACTGCATCATCAAATACTGCATGAAATACTCCAAGCGGAGTGATACATACGGTGAAACGGTTGGAGCTCTGTTAACACTAGAATATCGCACTCCTGGAAAAGGCTCTCAGGCAATCAGATTCGAGGACCAGAAAGAACTGTTGTATAAATATATATATACTGTGTGTGCTGGGTTGGCACCAATGCAATAGGAGGTGCATTCACTATAAACATAATTTATTTTCAATCTTAGGCATACACAACTTTCTGGCGAAAGTGAATCTAACAGCCTGTGTGAAATGCGCTA